GAAAAAGGCAAGGCCTCATTTTTTCACTTCTTTAGTCAGCTTTTATACTTAAACACTTGGAGGAATGAAGAGAACCCGGGTAAGCTGACCAACAAGTCCCTCTCACCTGCTACCCCAGCTTCCATGGCTTTTCTCATCTGAGACCTCCGATCCTTACATAAAACTACCAATTCGCTGTTTCCCTTCCAACAAATGCTGGAATGCAGAGGTCACCAAACTTGGTGACTTGAGGCATGGCCAAAGACACCCAAGAGAAGCTAGGAGACATTCACAAGATCCCACCATCCCTGAACTGCTTGCTGGGCCATAAGGCACACAGGATGCATTCAGGTGGAAGCACGAAACTGCTTATTCCATCCTGGCTTGCCAGGCCTGGCCCCATCCTGGGATTCTCCTACCCAGTCCCTCCTCACTGGCTCTCCACTGTCCAAGACTTTAGGTACCCTCCCCCCGCCTACCTCTGAAGGTCCCAAGGACCATTGGTCCCTGGGCCTTAAGGCTGCCAGTGTCCAAGGCCTCATTCCCCAGAAGCGTGCCAAAAGCACTGAGCTTGGCTCCACTGAGGACCCTAAGACCGATGATGATTAAACAGAGATGGCTGAAGACTTGCAGAAGAGCCACCAGAGTTAGAAAAGCGAAGCAGGCTGCACAGAATTAACAAAGGAACACTAAGAGGGCAGAGCGGACACAGAATAAATGGACTAACCACAGGTCGAAAAAGGACAATAACGCAAAGATGCTCTAGGGGGAGAGATCCTAGAGAAAGTCTATCCAAACACCTGCAGCCATGGGGCTTCTGAAGAAAGTGCAACTGTTTAGGGAAAAGGCACTTGCCTGAGAGAGACTGGACAGAAGGAAGTTGAGTGGGAGAGCAAGAAACTGGGGGAGCCCTGAAAGAGGAAGATGGAATAGCTCTTCAATGCAGGAAGCTTGAGAGTTCACCAGAAGTCGGCATGGACTGGAGGACAAGCACTGCAGGTTCCAGAGGATGATGAGAACAGTGCTGAAAGGTCAGAGCTTCTGGAACCTCAAGAAGCCACTTCCAGATGCATCCCAGCATCCAACCTGTTTGGGTAAAACTAGTCACTGAGGGCTATTCCCTGTCACCCTACTCTGCATCAACTCCGCACCCAGTCTGAAAGGGTAGAAGCCTCAGAGGTAGGTAGTTTACCATGGGAGAGACATAGTCCTATCTCTGGGAAGTTCACGTTCTGATACCCTAAGGAACCTACCACACACGTCACAAAACTGAGGAACAAATACCAACTAGTGCAAATTAATATAGTCCTTGAGGTGTGAAGACAGGAAGAATGCATAATGATGTGCCACAGAGACCCAGGAAAATCCAAGTTGGGACTCTCCACACCTTAGGACTCAGCCCACTTGAAGTTTTCTCATCACCTGTTCACATGCCCAGATGGGGTCCTCAGTGCCCCTTAGTAGCTCCTGCGCTGAGGATGCAATGACTGGGAAAAAACCAGCATTGCTGGGAGGCCTGGAAGGAAGAGTCCCTCCCAGGAGAGCCCAGGAACTTGGAGGATCCTGGGGGCAGAGCTTGCTCTCTACTGATCTTCCTCAACAATCTCTCATCTTGTCCTCACAAGGTTCAAGATTCATGGCTTCACAACCTCTGTTTTGTGTGGTTCCCTTTTCAATTCAGTAGAAGGTCCTAGAAGATAAAAACCAGGATTTCTCCACATCCTGCAGTGTTGGAATGTAACAGACACTTGTCACAGGTCGGGTAGCTGGAGTGTTGATTAAAAGAATTTTTCCACAAACAGCAAATGCGTCAAAACTTTTCCATTGGTATTCTTTGCCCTGTCACTTGCATTTGACACCCATCCATCTCTCTCTGATGTCCCATTCCTATACCCACCCTACCGTATCTACCTCAGGCTGGGGAATGGGCCTACCTAGGCTTTGTAAAGAAACATCAGCTCAGCCTGCATGTGGGAACAATGGAAGGGTATGTGGCCGGAGAGTCTCTGGTAGGGGCAGAAGGAGGGTCTCCCCACACCAGACTGGCCCACTGATAAGAATCCTTCCCTTCTCTGTCTCCTAACAGATTCAGATTAATGATCGCTCATTCCTAATTGTCAAATTTCTTTTCCTTCATCCTGTGTCTAATCACCAGTGACAGAAACCATTACGCAAATGAGAGCAGACGACTTCCCCCAACTGTTCGCGTTGGTAAAAACCTTGTAATTTAGAGCTCTGATTTGTAGGGGAAGCTGGTCTCCCCCAGGCATCCTGGGCATCTGCTCAACTGACGCCCAGAACAGCCCTTCCTTCCTCCCCTGAACTCCAACTCCCCAACAAATATTTGACTTCACAAAATAACAGTTTCCCATATACCTGCTGATGTAAAAACGCAAGCCTATAATATGGCTGACCTTCTTTCAGGTCCAAAGCCCCAACTTCCCTTGGAGTGTCGCCTGCACACCGCTGGTCAGCAGAGGAGTAAGCAACAGAGCAGGTATGTTTCCTTAGCCGCAAGTAGAATCTGAGCCTAAAAAGCTCTTACTCAGCCCTAAGAGAAGGGAGGAGACTAGCTCTCTTCCTTGGGGGAAAGGGAGGCAGCAGAACATGAATCGATGTTCTTAGTTATTATCTAGAACTGGATCTTCAATCTTAAAGGTGCAAAAGCAAGCTGGGAGAAGTTATGGTACCTATTAAAGGACACATAATGCACTGGAATCTAGAACTCAGTTTCCCCACAACTCCTTCCAGCAGTCTTAACTCAGAACAAGGCTTCCTGACAGTTTTCACAAGAAGTCTTTAGCTGGAGCCCAAAAGAACTTTTACCCTGAGCTGTAGCCTGTGCACCCTCTTGGGCACTGCCCAGTGTGGTGAGATCTGAGGACAGCCTATAGGACAAGGTAGGCAGCAAGGCAGGAGAAACAAGTGTATGGTGGAAAGGGAGCAGCAGGGGCTCTGCAGTCAAATGAACAGTAGGCTCAAATCCTGATTGCCACTCATCACTGAAACCCCTCTGAGCCCGTTTCTTTAGCTGTAAAATGGAAATACCTACCTTGCAGGATAGTGAGGAACAAAAATGAGAGCACTACACAGAAACTGAGTGTCTAATAATCAGGGTCACTACTGTATTACCCAAGGGTCAGCACCAATCCTGTAAAGGACCCTCCCCCCACACCCAGTCGCCTTAGGTCAGATCTGTGCCAGCAAAGCACCCAGCCAGGAGCAGCGGAGGGCCACATGCCTCCCTGCTGCACATCGCCCACTTCCCTGAAGGCTGAGCCAGGGGCGCGGCAGACCTCCTAAGGACAACAAAAATAATCTGCTATCTTTCAAAGTTTGCTTGGGCTGAAGTTTATCCTCTGTCTGCCTTGTTTTCTTTGCTGCACTCCTCTTTGCCAAGAGATAGAGGGATGGAGATCACTGCAATCACATTTTCCAGCATTGGCTATATTTGAAAGAACTACACTTGAGAAGGTACCGTGTTTGCACACCCACGCTGCATCAGAGAACCCCAGAATGGGGTACTAAAAATAAACACCCCTACCCCAATACCCAAACAGGTGCACACATGCACACACATACATCCTCTCAGTCCATCAGTGCGCTGTTAACTGTAACTGTAAACTGAGCTTTGGGGGTTAGAGCCACAGCTCAGAAGCTGACAGTAAACCTTTGGCAAAAAATAAAACAAAACAAACAAACAAAAAAACCCCAGAGTTTTCCAACTCCTCTTTCCTTCCAGAGAGAAGGGGCATGGAGATGGGAGTGGAGGTGAGAAGACACAGGACTACAGGGCCACCATACTGCCCAATTCCAGCGGCCCCAGTTCCACTGAATCATGTGACCGATGGCCCTCTGGGTTGTGCAGTACCCAGCTCCAAGTTGCAGCCCTTAGAGGCGTTCCCACAAGTAACAATGAACAGGAAAAGAAATTCCACTTCTGTGCTCCATCATCAGCTGCCCTGACTTTCAAGGGTGTTTGTGGAACGTTACAGAGGGGTCTGGCAGAGGCGCTGGCTTTAAGAGGCAAGGCTGTATTTTTGTCCTTGCCCTGAGGTGGGTGACAGGTGGCAAGCTGGCTGCCTAGGCTTGACCCCATTTCATTTACTTGGCCAGGAAGCTCCACAGGAGTGGAGGACGTGGCCTGGGCAGGGAGGGTCACAGGACCTGGAGGCTCTCACCACTCAGCCTCAGGTGGGTTGCAGTGAGATCTGACCAGCGTCCGATGGCTAAAACTGAGTTTAAAAGCTTTAGGCTAGGCCAGGCAGTACTTCCCTGGGGCTTACACTGTGTGTCCCACTGGACAAGGTTAAGCAGTGGAGAAACTCAGTAAGCCAAAAGGCAGGCCAGTGTGGACACGGACACAGATGCACGTGCGTGTGTGCACACATATCACACACACATCCACACAGAGGCTCATACCCCTAGAACCTAGAGAAGCCACTACTAAGAGAACTCCCCTGGTACTCAGCACAGGGAGCCGGAGCTGGTGCTGTAAGAGAGAAGCTGTATGTGTCTGCAATTTGGAACTTAGGCATAATCCTTGGCTCTCATGTCCCGAGGGTTTTTTTTTATGTATGGCTTGAGCTGAAAGGTCCAAGTTGGAACTCTGATTCTCTCATAGGAAGGCTATCTAAGCTCTCAGAGGCAAGTCCCCCTCTCACTCTTCCCATGAAGAGTTCCAGTAACCATTCCCACCCAGCCTAGAGCCTGACTGTGAAAACTGGAAGGAGGCAGATTGACCTGGTGGTCAGGAGTGCTCTGGCTCCACAGCCCAGATATAGTGGGCATCCGAGACCATCTCCTCTCTCTCAGGCTGAGGCACTGAGGCTGCAGGAGACAGGCCCAAGAGCCAGCAGTGGCATCCTGACTCAGAAGGAGAAAGCAAGGAACAAATACACACGTGCGTGTGCATGCACACACACGCACACACATCCCAAGGGTGACAGACTGACGCACACAGACGTGATGACAACCAGAAGCTGGGACTCCACACACTGAATGCAGGCCTTAGTGGGGGCACAGAGGCAAGGGCAAGAAGTCTCTCCAAATGGGAGCGGAGCGCCAACCACCCTGCCTTGCCCCAAACACCTGCCTCCAGGGCCATGGCAGGAGTCCAGTCCATTAAGTGCAGCGTGCAATACTAGCGCTTGGAGTCTCCTGTCCTCATCAATGAAGCGGTGTGGACGGGCTAGCAGTCACCTGGCAGGAGGCCTCGACTCCTGGCAGGCTAGTTGTATCGACCCTTGATCATTGTGTTCAACAAGGGCCCCACCTGTGAAGAGACATGAGGAGCCAGTCAGAACTGCCTGTCCCCTGGCCCTGGAGCCAGACGTGGTGTGTCTGGAGGCATTCTATGTCCAACCAAGGGCAGGGACAAGGCTTTTATTCAATCTTGTAAACACACTAACCTACTCTCTTCCTGGAAAATATTCCAGGACATGGCCCTCTCATCTGGGTCCCTCTTGTATGTTACCTTCTCTCTCACAATACCCTATAAATAGCACCAAACTGACATAAGGTCAGAGGAGCCAATAATCCCCCCAAACCTAAGAGTGCCTGCATGTTTCTTAAATGAGCTTTAAGAAGGTTAAATGCCTCTGTATCCTGAAATGGTCACCCGCAATTGGGGCTGGAGCCACTTTCCAATCCCACAGGTCCTCTGGATGCTGAGGCTATCCACGGGAAGAAGGCAAGAGCATTACAAATACCTCCCTTGGGTCCCCAATGGGCCACTGGCACACCTGTGTGGGAAGCAGGTCTCAACATTACCTAGAGCAGCCTTGGCACAGCTGGGAGAGCGTGAGGAGATACTTTACCGCTCGCTTCCCATTCCAGAAGAATCCCCCCAGGGGTCCCCAGCTGGCACACAAGCCCCGTGGGGAACATTACCACTAGCATGGAACAGATTATAATTGATCCACCAGTCAAGCCCAACTCTCACCAGAAAACAAAGATTTTCTGAATACGCCCATAACCTCTATGGAGAGAAAGGACACCAGATACTGAAACAGAGCTATGGAGAATGTGACATCAATCCTGACTTTCCCTGGTCACTCTGCCCATTGGGCCACAGGAGTGCCACCTTGGGGCAGCCACATACCTCTTGTGGGTTCCCCAAGGCCTCTCCAAGCATCTTCTCAATGTTTCTCATTATGGCCACTTTCTGATGGGCTTTGAGAGGATATTCAATTCTCTTAGGGGTGGGGGCCCCCTGCAAAGGAAGCAGCAGCTCAGGAAATGCCTTTAGCAGCAGGCTTCAGTGTAACCCACCATTCTAGCGCCTTTAACCCTTCTAAGAAACTCAGTTCAATCCCACCCCTCTTCATCTCTCCAAAGACCTGGGAATCACTTTCAGAGAGAGCCAACCTCCCCACCCTGCCCCCAAATTATTACACCTACCTCACCCCAATCCCATCTAGGGAGGAAAAAAAAAAACCCATATTCACCTTATACCAGAAGTTCACAGTGATGGTAATCCCCCCATTTAGTAATGACTCTATGTGATGCCACCTGCAAGAAAATAAACATGCTCCTGTTTGCCACCAATATTCCTTAGAGAGAGATAGAAAACTAGGTAAAGTCCGGCTACAGCAAATGACAAGCACATTATCTTTACATTCATCCTGCCAAACACACCCTGGGACCAGAGGCAGTGGGTGTTCAGCTCAGTTTCCAAATACAGAAGAGCCAAGAACAGTTTCTTCAGCCTCAAGCCTCTGGGATCTCTTTGGACCTGAGGAATTGTCATCTTGTCCTACAGACTGTGTTGTCATTTCTCCCATGTTCAGCATGGTCACATCTGGATATGCCGACCTTTCTGTAGATCACATAAAACCAATCCTGCCACAACTTGGAAGGGACACAAATACAGCTTTCCGGGGAATGGGAAAGAAAGCTCCCAAAAAGCCCCCAGTCCTAACCCCCTCCTCACCAGTACATTGGGATGTAAAGAACATCACCAGGGCCAACCACTGTTTCATAACCAACCACGTTCTGGAAATTGGGGAACCTCTCGTAGTCAGGATTGTCAAAGTCCACCTGAGAGGTTCAAGAGAAAGAAAAAAAAAATCAGTCAATCGCCAAATCTTTATTAATATAAACTGCGATGTGATAGTTTGGTAGTGATAAAAAGATGGCTTTAAGAATAAAAGATGTGTTTAGAATTTATATCCGGCAGAAGATACCACACACATGTTAAACATATACACTCTCTCTCAGAGAACGGTATAAGACAAGCCAGGCTTGAGAATTAAGTGTTAAAGAATACTGGGCCTCGGTACTCCTGAGGTCAGAAGCCAATCATCACAGCTCACAGGTCAGAAAACCTAGTCGTGGCCTGCAGACATGAGAAATGAGGATGCACCCTTCAGCCAAATCTTCTCAAACTTTCTCCCACACACATATTCCTGTCAGCAAAAACTTCTACATGAAGTGGCGAGGCAGTTCTCTCAAGAAAGGAGAGGCCCTCCCCGGTTGGCCATAAAGTCAACCACATACTTCTTTTAGATCCAGGAAAGACAGTAAATGACATATGACAATTCTGTTCACCCTTCTCCTTATCAAAAAGTAGCAGCATCCATGACAACAGAAAGCAATTATTAAACCCAATGGAGACATACACATTCAAACAGGGTGACCAGAGTCCACCAGCATCAGTGATGGGATCTGCCCTCCGGAATTACCTTGACAGAACTGTTTATCCTTATGAACATCTAAGGAGGACCACCACAAGGGCCTGGAATATGTGAGCTACACTGTGAAATTATCCTGAGTTTATCCACAGGGAAGGGGAAAGACATGCCAACCTTGGATCCCAAAGGAGTGCTATACCCTCCTCAGACCACACAAGCTCACCTGGCTCTGTCTGTCACATGGGTGATGAACAGGATATGGGTACAGGCACTCAAACTGATCCGGAGGGAATAAAATGCATCGCTTGTAGCCTTTTATCTGAGCAAAGAAGTTCTGCTGCTCATCATAGTGAGCAGGTGTCACATTTCCTGTAGGAGGAAAGACATTTTCTTATTCAGAGCGGTGGCTTGACTGCAGAGGCTAGAACACAAGGCCCAATGCTGGAGAGAAACCCAGCCTTCCCTCTCAGCTAAGGGTTTCTAATCAAAACTTCAAGCACAATTGGGGCGACTGCAATTACAACTCTCAGCAAACTATTAAACTTTCAGTGGGCAGTAAGTTGTTCAGAAACCATCGCTAGCTAAGGGTTCACCATCAATCAGAGCAAAGCAAACTTTCATAAATGATGCTTCTGCCCTTACTGGGGCATCATCGAGATGATATTCACAAGTCTGGCAAAGTAATACACCGTGCATACTTGTACGCGTCTTGACTATGGCAAGAATCAAAGGATAACAAAACAGGAGTAACAAACAACTGAAGTGACTGGTATCAACAATGCATGCGTAACCGTCTTTGATGGAGTTAACCAGTCACTTGAAGTTGTATGAATATGTACTTGCTTTGAGTAGCTCTTCTGGAGCTCAAAGATTCTCAACCTTTGTTCTCACTTCAACACATCTGTGGGATGCAATACTTCTTAGAGCAACACGGAGGCTGTTAATTGTCGTGGAGGCATGAGGAGAGCATATCAGATTCCTGAAATGCTGTATAATTTGAGTAAGGCGAATTATTTTAAATGCCAACCTGAATTAGTTCTGCACTAGTGTATATTTGCTCCATCTACTCTTTGTAACTGGGACCTTATCTGTTGTTTATCCTTTGCACAATCCCTGAGAGCTGAGGGCCCTGTGCAGGGCACGGAGTTCAGAAAACATTCCCTGGTCCGCTTGAGTGGGCCAAGACAGCCGCTTTCGTAAATGCTAAGAGTCCATGCGCATCCTCAGAGGAGATCTGCTCTCTCATCTCTACCTAAGGGATCCGCTTCAGTGCACATTACCAAAGGACAGGAAGGCAAAAGAAAAACTTATAGCTAAGTAGGTCAGAACTAGCTCCTGGCAGGTTAATCAAGAGTTGGTTTCAAAGGGACAGGTTAGAGGTGCAATCCATAAGCTGCACTGCTAGAATCTTTATTAATACTGGCAGCAAAGGATCCAAAACTAAAGAAAGAACAAAGGAGAGACTTCAGAACCCAGTGGTGAATGACAACAAATAACTACTCTGCTTCCTTATTTAATCCAATTTATTCACCATTTACTAGGTACCTATTATGGGCCTGGCCCTGGGCTAGTGCCAGAAATAAAAACAAGAACGAGACAATGACCCTGGCCAGTAAGCAGCTCTACTTCTTTTGTACTGGAAGCCTCTTGTTCCTCTGAACTGGAGTTCAAAGGCCTCTCCTCTCATTCTATTGAAAAAAGAATGAACATACTCACATATTTGCTTATGTATACATAAAATCCTCTAGCAGTATACACAAGCAACTAACATGTGGTACCTCCAGGGAGGGTTATCAGGAGGCTGGGAAATAGGAGTGGAAGAGAGATTTATCATTACACACCTATTTATACCTTTTGAATTTAACTCCATAAATATATTAACATTCAAAAGATAACGTTCAATTTATACTGGAAAAGTAAGCTTTCCTCTTCTACTGGAATAAAAAATCTTCTGAATACAAGCAAATCCAATAGATAAGAACAGTATTTCAGGAAGACCCCTCATACCTGAGTATACACGCTCATGCAGCAACTGAGGAAGGGAAAAGAGAACTAATTTTCTTTTTAAAGTGCGGGAAACTAGCTTAATCATTTTACATACATTATCTCTTTAATCTTCATAGTGATTTATAAGCTATTCCTTTCAAAGAAGAGGAGACTGAGATTTTAAAGTTAGATGACTTGTTCAGAGTCATAAAGCAAATGAGTGAAGACAAGCTTGGAAATCAGGTTTGTATGACTCCAAGCTATACTGCTTTCTGAAAGTTTCTTACCTTCCATGCCAATGAGCAGTAGGTTGGATGTCAGTTGTCCCCAGCCACGCTTTCCCTGTTGCTTATTAATCCAGTTCCAGTTAAAACCCAAGAAGTCCATGACGATCTTCCTGCCCACAGTGTCATTGAGTGTTTGCTGCAGATACAACCTATGTTTCCCGAGAATAAAATCCCATTAGTGCACATACACAGTCCCTTGGCATGGCCTCCCTACATCTGGAAATCCAAATCCACACCAGCACCTCCCACAGAGACCAGCTGCAGCCATGCAAGTGTCAACCAAGAGAGATTCTCACAGAACTGAATACTTGCCTGTCCTATGAGCTCTGTTCACCACCAAACTTACTATTTTAAAGAAAAGATTCTTCTTTTTTTAAAAAACATAAACTCTATACCAAATGTGAGGTCTGAAGATCTAGATCAAGATCTTTGTTTTTAAATTTATTATTTTTAAATAAACATATAATGTATTTTTATCCCCAGGGGTACAGGTCTGTGAATCGCCAGGTTTACACACTTCACAGCACTCACCATAGCACATACCCTCCCCAATGTCCAAAACCCCACCCCCCTGTCCCAACCCCCCTCCCCCAGGAACCCTCAGTTTGTTTTGTGAGATTAAGAGTCACTTATGGTTTGTCTCCCTCCCAATCCCATCTTGTTTCATTTATTCTTCTCCTACCCCCTTAACTCCCCAAGTTGCATCTCCACTTCGTCATATCAGGGAGATCATGATAGTTGTATTTCTCCGACTGACTTATTTCGCTAAACATGATACCCTCTAGTTCCATCCACGTCATCGCAAATGGCAAGATTTCATTTCTTTTGATGGCTACATAGTATTTCATTGTGTATATATACCACATCTTCTTTATCCATTCATCTGTTGATGGACATCTAGGTTCTTTCCATAGTTTGGCTATTGTAGACATTGCTGCTATAAACATTCGGATGCACGTGTCCCTTCGGATCACTACATTTGTATCTTTAGGGTAAATACCCAGTAGTGCAATTGCTGGGTCATAGGGTAGTTCTATTTTCAACTTTTTGAGGAACCTCCATGCTGTTTTCCAGAGTGGTTGCACCAGCTTGCATTCCCACTAACAGTGTAGGAGGGTTCCCCTTTCTCCGCATCCTCGCCAGCATCTGTCATTTCCTGACTTGTTAATTTTAGCCAATCTGACTGGTGTGAGGTGATACCTCACTGAGGTTTTGATTTGTATTTCCCGGATGCCGAGTGACGTGGAGCACTTTTTCATGTGTCTGTTGGCCATCTGGATGTCTTCTTTGCAGAAGTGTCTGTTCATGTCTTCTGCCCATTTCTTGATTGGATTATTTGTTCTTTGGGTGTTGAGTTTGATAAGTTCTTTATAGATTTTGGATACTAGCCCTTTATCTGATACGTTGTTTGCAAATATCTTCTCCCATTCTGTCAGTTGTCTTTTGGTTTTGTTAACTGTCTCCTTTGCTGTGCAAAAGCTTTTGATCTTGATGAAATCCCAATAGTTCATTATTGCCCTTGCTTCCCTTGCCTTTGACGATGTTCCTAGGAAGATGTTGCTGCAGCTGAGGTAGAAGAGGTTGCTGCCTGTGTTCTCCTCAAGGATTTGGATGGATTCCTTTCTCACATTGAGGTCCTTCATCCATTTTGAGTCTGTTTTCGTGTGTGGTGTAAGGAAATGGTCCAATTTCATTTTTCTGCATGTGGATGTCCAATTTTCCCAACACCACTTATTGAAGAGGCTGTCTCTTTTCCATTGGACATTCTTTCCTGCTTTGTCGAAGATTAGTTGACCACAGAGTTGAGGGTCTATTTCTGGGCTCTCTATTCTGTTCCATTGATCTATGTGTCTGTTTTTGTGCTAGCACCATGCCGTCTTGATGATGACAGCTTTGTAATAGAGCTTGAAGTCCGGAATTGTGATGCCACCAACTTTGGCTTTCTTTTTCAATATTCCTTTGGCTATTCGAGGTCTTTTCTGGTTCCATATAAGTTTTAGGATTATTTGTTCCATTTCTTTGAAAAAAAAATGGATGGGATTTTGATAGGGATTGCATTAAATGTGTAGATTGCTTTAGATAGCATAGACATTTTCACAATATTTGTTCTTCCAATCCAGGAGCCTGGAACATTTTTCCATTTCTTTGTGTCTTCCTCAATTTCTTTCATGAGTACTTTATAGTTTTCTGAGTATAGATTCTTTGCCTCTTTGGTTAGGTTTATTCCTAGGTATCCTATGGTTTTGGGTGCCATTGTAAATGGGATGGACTCCTTAATTTCTCTTTCTTCTGTCTTGTTGTTGGTGTAGAGAAATGCAACTGATTTCTGTGCATTGATTTTATATCCTGACACTTTACTGAATTCCTGTACAAGTTCTAGCAGTTTTGGAGTAGAGTCTTTTGGGTTTTCCACATATAGTATCATTAGATCAAGATCTTGATCAAGATCTAGACCAAGATCAAGAGTTGCATGCTCTACCAACTGAGCCAGTCAGGTGCCCCTAAAAGAAATTATTCTTAACCTTTTCTGGGTCACAGAATAAATCTAAGAATCCAAGGAATGTTTCCATAAAAATGTACATACACATGGAACTTTCATACAATTTCAGATTCCTCAACACCTATTCAGAGTCTAAAATGATTATTCAGCCTTTCTCTAGAAACTCTCAGAGCCTCAGACATCCTCTTTGGCCCTTGATGGCCTTTATGATAGACTGTATTACTGTTCACCAAGATCTAGTTCCCTCCCTGTGGGAGAGTTAATTCTCCTATATCCCCTTGAAGCCAAGCTTGCTTATTCAACTTGCTTTAACCAATGATATGTCCACAAATATGACTTATGTCACTTCCAAACTGTAATTTGAAGAAGCAGTACTCACTGCCACCACATCTCTCTCCCTCTGCTAATCAACTGCAAGGTTTCAGATAGTAGCTGCTGGGTCTCAAAATAAGGAAGATGATGTAAGAGTAGAGCCTTCATGTGACCTATGATGGACATGGATGGACATGTAGCACGACTGTTGTTGTTATAAACCTTTGTTATTTCAAGTCACTGCCTCTGGCTTGAAACCTAGTTTATCTTAACTAATTCAGCCACCTCTCTGTATCAGCCTTCTACAGCTGAAAGACTCATCAGGCTTTCTGTAGACCCAATCATGGAGGAACATCAGAAATTACCTAAGGGATGTGAAAACCCAGACACGTGCTCAAGTCCCACAGGGGACATCAATAAAAGGGCAAACACGAAGACAAAACACAAAAGCAACCCTGTTCTAGTCCCAAGAATGTTACTTCAAATGGCTCAAAAGTATCTCAGTGCCTAGAATCAGGATGTTTAAGGCAATATTAACTAGAAATCTTGGTAAGTTGTAAACACTAGCTACCTTTTGGGGGACAAAGAACCCTCAAGACTCAAATGCAACCTTTCCTCAGAAATTATAAAATATATCATACAAAAATTTTGTCAAGTAACTTTGAAAGAGGCAGAACACTCACCAAACATGAATCCAAACAACTCCTATTACATCAGAACAGTAAATGGTCAAAAGAGCTCAAAGAGAAATTATAGAACTCCTTGAATCGTAACAACCCGTACAATTCCAAAGTGGAATTGGTCGGTGGTAAAGTAAGCTGGTCAGGCAAAACTCATGCATAGGAAAAAATTTTCCTTGAATCACTCATAAAAACTACACTCATAACTTGTACTTAGTAAGGCAAACTGCTCTCCCTATAGGAGGTAAGAAACTTGAAGTGACTGAGGAACCAGGACTCAGGTGTCTCATCTCATGCTCCTTCCAGCACAAATGTTCATGCAATGGAATTACACTCCACCAGCACCATTTAAATCGACCCCTCTCTCGCAACCCTGGGGATGTGTGAATGTGTGCACATACACATGTACATGCTATGTTAAATTTGAGGAAACTTAAGCAGAAAATGACTTACACTAGTCTTTGTAAGACGTAAAAAACTCATCAATCACAGCTGTAACCCTGGAAACTCTTTTTGGTCAAAGTTCTAGCACTATGATAACCACTAAGTGTCAGGAAGACATACAAACACAAAAAAAGATATTTCAAATCCATTCATGCAGCCATAGGCTGCTAACAGAGTCAGGAAAAGAACTGAGGCAGGAGACTAAAGGAAGCCCAGGGTTGGGCACCAAGTGTGAGATGGAGATGGTCATTCACCATGAAGTACTCAGCAAAAGCAATTCCCCAGAAGCAATGTTACAGTGCAAAACTGAATGCTGTCTGGGACCTACTGAGGAGGCTGGCCTCGCATATAAAGATGAAAGCACAGAAGAGTCACTTCTGAGTGCGTCTTGTGTTTGCCATCTCTAGTATAATGTGCAACTCCGTATCAACCGAATCTGATCTCCCCTAATCTAGGGAACCCTGACACCCTTCATCCAAGAATCACAACAATCTATAAAAATTTTTTAGCTTTAATTGTCCCCAGCCAGCCCAATATTTTAGGACACAGGGTGCAAACTGGCAATCTCAGGCTAAATCCAATGACAGCTGGTTTTGTTTGGCACCCCGCAGCTTTTTTAAAAATTTGAGTTAGCTGCCAAGGTCAAAAAAATTTTAAATAAAAATCCCAGTTTCTGGGGTGCCTGGGTGGCTCAGCGGGTTAAAGCCTCTGCCTTCGGCTCAGGTCATGATCCCAGGGTTCTGGGATCGAGCCCCGAATCAGGCTCTCTGCTCCGCAGAGAGCCTGCTTCCTCCTCTCTCTCTGTCTCCCTGCCTACTTGTGATCTCTGTCTGTCAAGTAAATAAATAAAATCTTAAAAAAAAAAAATCCTAATTTCTGGCTTCTCTTGAAAATGAAAGTATCTGGCAACCCAGGGACCGCACTCCTAACTGGAAACAAGAGTCACGTAAGGACTTCTCACTCTGAACATGGCACATGCTTTCAGCTTCATTGTCGTTTTCACCCAGACAACGTCTCTTGTTTTACTCACCTACTTAACCCTTCTAGGCAACTGTGACTGTCACTTTGTGAAGACAACAAAGAATGACAGAGTGACAATTCAAGTCTAATCATTCTCTCATCTCTCAAACTAGGGAGCTCATCCAACTCCTCCATATGCTCAAACAATTACAAGACAGGAAAAAGGATGCCCTAGATTCAATGGGAAGCCACAATCTGGGAACTTACCTCTCTTCCCCTCCTTGCTGCTGTATATCCTGCAGTTTCTCAACAAACTCGTGAAATTTCATTTCCTCCCTGTTGGACCTGGGCTTAAAGTTCTGGAAATTGGCCATCTTCTTCTCATCATAGTACAAGAACTTGTGGGTGCTGGCACTGTACACAGAGAAGTCTCCGTTGCCAATGTTCTCCTGCAGGTATTCGAGGTCCCATTTCAGAGCAGGATACACAAGATTTGTGTCTGTCAGCACCACAGGCTCCTAAGTGAAAACAACAAGTGAAAAAAACAAATGAAGTCATCCCAAGAAGCTGGTGGATTCTTGTCCCATGACTCCAACAACTTCCCTACTTCTGAATACTTTCTCTTGTGAACAAGCACAAACTCCTTTAAGTTCCATTTCTCCTCGTCTCCCTCTCCACTCTCCCTTAGGCCCTAGTCCACAGCCCTGACAGTCCCCCACTTGTATCATCATTCGCCTTTGACCTCTCCTCTCAACCTGGTCCCTCCCCCCACTCCCCTTCAGACCGGGCCCCGCCTCCTACCTCATTCTCGATAAGCTCCTCCGCCCGGGGGTCGCTCTGACTCAGACGGGGGATGGGCCGGGTCGGAAAGCTATAACTACGCAACTGGGACTCATCCCAGGCGAGGCCCGGAGCTTCGGCCTCCTCTCGGGGTTCTCCAGAACCGGAGGCCACAGCCTCCGTCGCCGTCGCCGCTGCCGCCGCCATCTCCGTCGCTACAGCCGGCCCCACCGGAACCGGAAGCTCCGCCCATTCCGGACAAAACACAACGGAAACCATAGAGATGGACGCGCGCGAGAGCGGTCCAGAGACACAAAGAACGCGGAACCGGGGCGTGGGGGAGCGCCTCCTCATGGTGACCTACAGCTTTACACCCTAAGCTTGGCCTGTGAAGTCTTGGGGCGCAGAGGTTAGACCCACTGATCACCTGGTTAACCAATACACCAAGTATTATTGCTGCGTCAGTGTGCCCAGGCCTACACAAGAAGCAGAGAAAGGAGGCCAGTTTAGCGGGGCATTAAACTGTACAGTCGTGGATGGGGAGAGAAGCAAACTCTTGACCTACCTAAGAAATCAGAAGGAAAAGCAATTGTCAGACTGATAGATGTTGGGGAAAGGTTGCTCTGAAGGCCTAGACAAAAGATATAATCCATAGAATGGGAGAAAATATTTACAAAGTATATAGCTGATAAGTGACTTGTATCTAGACTATATAAAGAATTCTTACAACTAAGCAATAGAAAGTCAAACCAATTCAGATGAAAGACTTGAGTAGACAATTCTCAAAGAAGATACCATGGTCAATAAGCACATGAAAAGAGGCTCAACATCTTTAGTCATCAAGGTAATGCAAATCAAAACCACAATGAGATACCACTCACAGCCACGAGAACGCAGAAAAATTGGAAAGCTCGTATGCTGCTGGTGGGAATGTAAAATGGTGCAGCTTCTTTGAAAAAGTTTTATAGTTCTGCAGAAAGTTAAACAGAGTTATCCTATGATCCAGCAATTCTTTCTCTTCTTCCTTTTTTCTTTTCTTTTTTTCTCTATCTTTCCTTTCCTTTCTCTTTTTTTTCCTTTCTCCCTTCCTCCCCCTCTTTTCTTTCTCTCTCTCTTTCTTTCTTGATCCAGCTGTTCTACTGCTAGCAATATACTGAAGAGAATTGAAAACATACATCCACCAAAAAGTTGTAGAAGAATGTTCACAGCAACATTATTTATGATAGCCCAAAGTGGAAATAACTAATGTCCATCAACTGATGAGTGTATGAACAGAAAGTTGTATGTCAATATAATAGAATATTATTTGGTCATACGAAGGAATGAAAACTGACACATGCTACAACACGGACAAACCTTAAAAATATTATGCTAAGAGAAGTAAGTCAGACACAAAAGGTTACATAGCGCATGAAACTGTTTATATGAAGTGTCCAGAATAGGCAAATCCATACAGACAGTAGATTAGTGATTGCCAGGGTCTAGGGGTAAGGGAAATACACTAATAGGGATGGGGGTTCTTTCAGGAGTAGTGAAAACTATTTAGAATTAGTGGAGATAATTAAACAACTTTGTAAATATGCTAAAAATCACCTTATTGTACACTTTAAAGTGGTGATTTTTATGGTATGTGAATTATATCTTGATAATAGTAAGTAAATTAGGCCAACACTGTTTCTTAATCCAAATTAGATCAGGGCTTGCTATTGATTGAATGCAAATATTATGCAATTATTTTGAACATGAACTAGTGATGTTTATTTACAAGAGGGCAAGTTGCTGTGAGGTAGTCTTCCTCCAAATTTATTTATTTTTTTAAAGATCTTGGAGATAACTTGGGGTTTTTTTGTTTGCTTGTTTTTTAAGATTTTATTTATATATTTATTTATTTGTCAGAGAGAGAGAGAGAGAGAGAGAGCGCAAATGCAGGCAGAGGGGCAGGGAGAGGCAGAGAGAGAAGCAGACTCCCCACTGAGCAAGGAGCCCGATGTGGGACTTGATCCCAGGATTCTGGGATCATGACCGGAGCTGAAGGCAGCGGCTTAACTGACTGAGCCACCCAGGCATCCCTTCCTCCAAATTTATATGACAAGTAGCATACATAATTTTTATTGGTCTAATATATATTTGAGAATGTCTATAGTAATAGATTCTGCACCAAAACAGTCATCACCCTAAAAGTCGCTGGAAATATGTGTACATTTATATTGTGTAAATTATGCAAACACTCTTTATGTAAAAATGAAAATATATTCATATGTAAACCTGATAATATCCCCCATTCTTCTTTAAGCTAGTTTTGTTAACTGTGGTCCAGCTTGAAATCTTTACAAGTCCTCGCCAATCTGAGGCTTTAGCCAGTCTGGGAAGAGCTGCTTTAGGTGCTAGGATTGGTTTTACATTTGTTGAGTTGAGGTGACTGGGATATTCAAATATAAATATGGAGTAAAACTGAGAAGAGAATTTGGGGCGATTTGTGTGTTGCATCATTCCTCTACGTGAAGGAGAACAACCAATTTGCAAAACAAGATTAAGAAAGACCAGGGGCTGAATTTGAAGAATGATCACGTTTGGGGATGAAAGGAGGAACTGCCAGTGAAGGAGAGGAAACAGACAAGCAGTCAAAGAAAGTAAGACAGGCTTGTTTGTTTTGTACTGCACCTGCGGGAGGTAAGTTAGCTGTCCACCTGAGGTGCTCCCGTTCTGTGTCCCCATTATCCTTGGAAGTGTCTAAGTCAGCTGACGGAGAAAGGGATACAACAATATGAAATGTCAAAGTAGTGACCTGTTTGATTTTCTCTCCTTTCCACTTTTCCTCTCTGCCTCTATCCAGCCTCTCATCTTCCCTGCGGCTTCCTAAAACGACTTAAGCCCCGCCCTTATGGGAGCCCAAAGACTTTCCTTCGCTCTCGGCTTCTCTCGTCGCGTTTGGCCCGGCTCAGCCGCCGTGGTAAGGCCTTTGCGCATGTGCAGGGTCAACTAAGAGGAAGGTGAAGATGGCGGCGGCCAGGGCGCGGGTCCTGGGAGTCCGATGGCTACAAAGGGCTACCCGGACCGTGGTGCCCTTGGGTGCACGGACAGGTCCGTGAGAACGGGCGAGGCTTGAATGTGGAGGTGCCTGAGGTTTGGTGTGTCGAGAGTTGGAGGGGGCGGGTATTGCGGGTACTGCGGTGGCCATGTCCGGCGACGGGGCGGAGGTGGATGGAGTTAGTATACCTCGAAAAGGGGGTCAAGAATCTTGCTGGTCATTTGAAGCCAGGGCCGCCGCAGCCACCGCAGCTTGAAGCCCTCAGGGCGGCAGGAAGGACAGGGTCTTTCCTGACCCGCCCTTTTCTGCTCTCTAGCTTCGCACATTACGAAGGACATGCTCCCGGGACCCTATCCCAAAACCCCGGAAGAACGGGCCGCTGCCGCCAAGAAATATAATATGCGGGTAGAAGACTACGAACCATACCCGGATGATGGCATGGGGTGAGATGCAGAGTTTCCTTGCAGCTGGGTAGTGATGCGACATAGCCAGCTGGGTTGGGTGGCTCGACTCTGACCATTTTCCCTGAACCTTCTCGTGACCCCTCAGAGTCAATGGTGTGGATGCCTTTCTCGGTGGAGTGAGGTGGGAGGTGATGGGTGAGCAGCTGCAGCCTAGAGGACTTCAATTTTCTCCTTGGCTCAGGCTGTTTCCTCAAATGAGGAAGCCGAGATTTTAATAGCTCCCTTGAGGACCCCTGAATAGCAGGAACTTTCCTTGGCTTCAACCAGAGTGCGAGGTTTCATTTAGATTGAGCATCTGCTGGGCTCAGGTGCTGTCATCCAGGCACGTGATCACGCTGGAGCTGGACTCCAGTCTTGAGAGCCTTATTTGTAGATAGGATACTCTGTGTTCATGTGTATATCTTTCTTTTAAAAAATTTCTTTGCTGTTAGGGCTGTGGAGTTGAAGTAACTGTCAAGCAGATTAAAGAGCCAACTTCCCTACTCCAGTTGATGTTACCCCCTCCCTTACATAACATCCCTGCGGTTAATTATCTGAAGTGATTACGGTCACCCTCGTTTTCTTTCCTAGCATCACTCTTTCAGTAGTGGTTTTAGCAGCTCCTATTCTTCTTGTTTTCCAATCATTTTCTGTGACACATGACTAGTTGTCATCATTTCCTATGTCTCTTTGTTGTGGACAATAGTAGCCTTGGTAGCAGTCTATAAAAGTTGAAACTGGATTTGTTGGGGGAAAACTCAGCTTATCAGGAAGTCCCATGAGGTGTTTGAAACATGGAGATGTATGTTAACTCGGTGGTTGGGGAGGACATTTGCTATGAAGAGAATGCTTTCCTAATCTGAACCCCTTTTGTTTGTATACCAATTAGCTGGGTGACCTTGGGTTCAAACTAAACTTCAGTTTCATTTTCTGTCTAATGAGGGAATCTAAGTGATTGATTGCTAAATCCCTTTCCAGCTCTAACATTATAACTTTGCATGACTGATATTGAAAGAAGGTAAGAAAAGCATGTATGTTATCATGTATGTTACAATGTTTGAGAGTTTGACATGATCTTTTACTTACACTTTGGACTTCTGTGATTAGTTCTGTACTTAGTGACTATAAATTGAGATCTTAATTTGAAAGTGGGTTTCTCTGTCCTTAGGTGAGGCAGTTATGTGACACTTGGTTGCTCATCTCTTAACATGAGGGTACTTTGAATTGCCTGAGTGATGCTGCTCAAAGCCCCTTCCAGAAGTTTTTCTGTCTCTCAGGTATGGCGACTACCCAAAGCTCCCTGATCGCTCACAGCAGGAGAGGGATCCGTGGTATAACTGGGACCACTCAGACCTGAGGTTGAACTGGGGTGAACCGGTAAGAGATGCATATCTCATTTGACCTTTCTTCCTTCTCCCTAATACCTTCGTGAGGATTCTTTCTTTAGCTTAAATGGCATTTTGCCATCTAAGCAACATTAAGGTTTTATGCCTAAGAAAGCAAGATCCAGTGATCCGAGGTCTGAGGTTCCATGTGTGGTTCATGGAATGAGACTTCTGTAAATAATCAGAGCTCTGTACTTTGAAAATTATGAACTGCCATGCAGTCTTTGATCAGCAGAACCTAGGCTTAAGCCAGCACCTAGACCTCTGTAGTAGAGTAGCTCACACTTGATTTGCAGAATATTGCCCTGGGGCAGTAGAGTAACTTTATCGAACCTTGCATCAGGTTCTGATCACCTTTTTGCAGGACGAGCAGAATTTGACATTGAACTGTTTTTCTGCCTCAGATA